GCTTTTACTGCTTCTGGAGAATTCCCTCAGTTGTAAGTGACTAACAGTGTTAATGACGTTTCATGAACTGGGATGAAAATATGGAGTATCGAATTGAGTCTTCAAAGGGAAGCCTGCAGTGTTACAGCCCTAGCCACTGTAAATGAAATGTATTAGAGCTAGTAGTATGCTACAGATGACCCGCCTGTGGAAGTGAGATTCTTGTAGAAAAGTCAAGATCATTGAAGAGATGTGAGACCACCTAACTCTGTGTGGTTACACCAGGCACAGTCAGGAGGGAAGGAAATAGGTAGCTACTGTGGTCCGAATGCTTATGTCTCTCCACAGTCATGTTGTAAATCTTAGTGCAGTTGTGTTACGAGGGGGGCCTTTAGGAGGTGATTAGGTGATTAGCTGATGAGGGTTCTGCCTTCACGAATGGAATCAGTGCCTATCTTAGGCTGTTCTTCTGTTGCTATACAGTCATTGATAAAGGAAAGAGGTTGAATTGGCTTTGGTTCTGCAGGCTGTACAGGAAGCATGGTGCTGGCTTCTGCTTGGTTTCTGTGGAGGCCTCAAGGAGCTTTGACTCGTGGCCGAAGGTGAAGTGGGAGCAGGCGGTCACATAGCGAGAGTGGGAGCAAGGGAGAGAGAGGGAACGTGCCACACACTTTTAAACAACCAGATCTTGCTGGAACTCACTATTATGAGGACAGCACCAAGCAGTGAGGGATCCACCCCCGTGATCCAAACACCTCCGGGCAGACTCCACCTCCAACATTGGGGATTGCATTTCTTCCTGCAATTTGAAGGGGACATCCAACCATATCGGTGCCCTTACAAAAGAGGTCCGAGGGAGCTGCTTTGTCCCTTCTGCCATGTGAGGACAGAGCTAGGAGGTGCCATCCGTGAGGAATGGCGCTCAGTACACACCGAATCGGCCAGTGCCTTGACCTTGGACTTCCCAGCCTCCAGAAATGTAAGCAATGAATTGATGTTTATAAAAGTTGCACAGTCTAAGCTAAGACAGAAGTATTTAGGCTAATGGAGGAAGTTGCACAAGCATTGTTGGTTGGTTAGCTGCATGTTTCAAATGGTCAGAAGAAAAAAAATTCTCTTAACCGAAATTCTTGTGTGTTTCCCAGCACGTGTTATCTGCATGGTCTCAGGATAGTGTCTCCATTGGGGCTTGTATTAGCAACAGCCTAATTGCAGGAGGCCCCTGCCTCATGACCATTGTCCTACCCCAGGGTAATGACTGGGGTCTTCTCCATTATTACTAAAGGGTATACCTTGGGAGAACCACGTGTATATTGAAGGACATATGGTAGATCCAGTCATTTACTCTTTTTTTTTTTTTTTTGAGACAGAGTCTTACTTTGTCGCCTGGGCTGGAGTGCAGTGGCATGACCTTGGGTCACTGCAACCTCCACCTCTCAAGTTCAAGTGACTCTCCTGCCTCAGCCTCCCAAGTAGCTGGGATTACAGGTGCCCACCACCATGCCTGGCTAATTTTGTATTTTTAGTAGAGACAAGGTTTCACCATATTGGCCAGGGTGGTCTCGAACACCTGACCTCAGGTAATCCACCCACCGTGCTGGGATTACAGGCATGAGCCACCGTGCCCAGCCATTTATTCTATTTTCATGTAGAAAGATGTGACACGAGGGAGAATAATAGTGAAGTGTACGCATCATCAGCTGTGTGATTTGAGGGTAAACCCTTGAGATGAGACAGTTCCTTGTCACTTGATGATTTATTTCCTATCTCAGCCTTTAGTTAGAATTTACTGGGTGTGCCTGTCACCTGTGATTCAGCTGCTCCTTTATGTAGCATTGGCAGTTGTGGCTTAGAAAGGAAAACGCAGCTGAGGCTGCAGGTCACACTGTAATGGGAACAGGGGAGCACTTAGTATGTCCAGTTTTAAAAAAAAAACTTTATTTTTGCCCCAGGAGGATAAGAAAAAATTATCTTATTTTAGCCCCAGGAAAATAACGTCTTATTTTAGCCCCAGGAACCATAATATGTATGCATTTTTCTGTCTGTATTTTTTACAGGTGAGTAAACTAAGGCCTAGAGAGGCAAATAACTCGTAAGAGGTGGAGGTGGATTTGAACCCACATGCACCTGGCCGTAGACCCAACGTTCTTCTCTTCATGAGGTGTCAACTCCTCCAGTAGATTTGCTGCTGGAGCGGGGAGTTAGGGTCTCAGTTCTTAAGGGAGGGGGGAGGGTTTGGTGGCCCAGCTGCGTAAATAGCCTCATCTACCGTGAGGGTTTAGCAGTAGTTTGCTCCGTGTGGATAAGAACTACAGTGTGGTGTCAGTTTACGGGAGGTGAGGTGAATGAGGCTGTGATATTGTGTAGGAAAGGTGCTTGCACATCATATTATGTATTTTCTCAGTTTGCCCCTTTGTTTACAAAGAGTTGGTAATAAGGCTAAGTTTACTAAATTGATGGCTGAATACAACTGGGAGCCTTGCAGAGAAAACCATTTCACAGCTATTGATTTTACTCCTAATCTTGCCTCCCTAGCCCATGGCATGTCATTACACGAATCCTGGACAAGAGGTGTCTCAGTACCAATACTGGAAAACCGGCTCACTGCAGACAACCTATTGACTTTTTATCATATTTGATCATTAATTTTGTTTTAAAGAAATAGGGTCTCATTCTGTCTCTTAGGCTGGAGTGCAGCGGGGCGGTAATGGCTAACTATAGCCTCGAACTCCTGGGCTCAAGCAGTCCTCATGCTACAGCCTCCCAAGTAGCTGGGACTACAGGCATTGCCACTGTGCCCGGCTCATTTTTTTGTGTGTGGAGATGGGGTCTCATTCTGTTGCCCAGACTGGTCTCTAACTCCTGGCCTCAAACGATTCTCCCACCTTGGCCTCCCAAAGTGCTTAGGATGACAGGTGTGAGCCACTGGGCCTGGCCACAATTTTAATATAAAAGTTACCCCTTAAAAACAATTAGATGTGGAAGGAAGGGGAACACAGATGTTCAGGGCCTCAGAGATCCAGGTGTGAGTAACTAGAGTCCACATGACAAACACGAGTTCATGTGTTCTGGCCTTTTTTTAGTTGAGAAAGTCCATTTTCTTGGCTCTTCTGAGCCTGTTGCTTGGTTCTTGACACCTCACTGGAAATTAAAAATGGGAATTTGACTTTCCGTGATAGGGGCTGCCCCACCTGCGTTTGTAGAGTTGGAGCTCAGGCCTGTTGTGGGCGACGTTTGGAAGTTAAGCTAGCTCAGCTTATCTCTGGGTTGGTTGACTGTGAGACCAGGTGGAAGGACACGCAGCCCATCTGGTGGTGAGTGAGGCCGCTTGTGGCCAGGGGACTGAAGGAAGTCCCTGTTTACCGTATTCTTGGCAAAATCTGGTCTCCTGGCATAGATTCAGCTTTTGACAGGTCTGGGGATTTCTTTTTTTTTTTTAAAGCAAAATTATAAAAAATGCTTTTAAAATGAATCACTAGTGTTTTTGTAAGAGTTGGTAGATTGAAGGCTTTCGAAAGTATGGGCTTTCTCAGATGGGCCAGGCCATTTGAGATCTGCCTGAACTGCTCACCAGATCATCTGGGATAACACTGCCTTTGGGAGAAGGTGCCACGCTGTGTGCCAGTGGCCCTTTCGCAGCTGTCTCGTGAACAGGGGTTGGGGGACAGTGAGGTGGACACTAGGCATCAGGTGGACCCCAGCACCCTGCCCAGCCTTTGCTGCAGTGGTCATCTGTGCGCTTTTAAACTGAACAATTTCGTGTATCAGAAGTTATTCCTGTTCTCTTAGCCTTCATCAGTGAAACGCAGAATGACAAGGACTTTAAGACTGGTGTTGAATTATATTCAGATCTTAAGCAATTCCTGTGATCTCCCAATTTCTTTAAACTTTCATTTTTTTTTTAGCTTCAAAAAATGTCTTAAGGTAACATTTTTTCTTGAATGATTTCTCTTTTTTTGTATTTTCATTTTGTTGGTTTTCCTTATGGAAAGAATTGTTTAAAAGTCATACAGTAATTACAGTGTTTGGTGTAATATAATTCAGGATGTTTCATCTAATATAGAAAGACATTTGCTGCTTTTAGCTTATTATTATCCATATTGATTTAGGGTAATGGATTTGAATTGTCTAATCACTGACTTTGAGCAGCCAGAAATAAACTTAAAATCTTCCTGAAACCAAGTCTGGCATTTTTTGATCTGCACGTGTGTACATTAAAAATTGAGATGTTGCTCTGCTCTTCCCAAAGCATGCATGTGTGAAATAGGCTCATTGCTAACAACTGGGACAGTGCAGAAAAACAGAAAACATACTGTTAACATCTCGGTGTACATCATTCCACATTGTTTTCTTTGGATATGCATATGAGTACGCCTGTCCCCCAACCAAAAGGGGACCAATTCCTGTCATTAATTTTACATTGATGTCTACCTAGTTTGCAGTTTAAAAACATTTTTGGAAAACTTTGGACATATGAATCTTTTCACTTGTCTTTCCCTAGGATAAACTAACTGGAAGTGGGTTTTTGTCTTTTATTTTCATTTTCAGATATGGAACATCTTTTCTGATCACTTTTCCATCTTTTTAGCGCTTCCATTCTTTAGATGATATGCTTTTATGTCATTGTTTTCTATTTTTTGCTGCTTTTAATATGATGTTTATTTTGATAATGATTTTTATTACCTTCATCTCTAGCGGTGTTAATGCTTTTTGGAGACTTAAAAGATGATCCGAATTATAATTTGAGAGTTGAGAGAAGTGTTTTTCTGAAATGTTTCCCCTCTCCCTTAGGAATTTGGAAATATTTTCCTTTTGTTTGTTTTCTTTTTCACCACTGTCTTTCCTTGTAGAGGCATCTCTGCATGCCTTGGTGTGGATTCTTTGGCTTAGGAGGGGACCTGCCATGTGCCCTGGCCTGGGGTCGGTGTGGAGGGGCGGGAGCACTGCCTCCTGGGGTCAGCGGCTCTGTCCTCTCCTCTCTGGCCTGCCCTGCCTTCTGCCGGCGGGCTGTGCCTCTGCCTGCTCTTCCTGGCGGGATGAGATCCTCCCGGGGCTGCGCCACTCCCAGTGGGGCCCTTGCTTCTCAGGTGAGGGGTCAGGGCTCAGTTGTCTGGGGCCCACTTCCAGGAAGTGCACAGCTGGCCTCTGTTCCGGGAAGCCTTCCTGGTTAGGGAAGTGCAGATACCCTCCTGGGCCAGGCCTGCTGGGTGCCTCTGTGTCTCCAGTTGGGTCCCCACGGGAACATACCTGTCACCTTAGTTTCAGAACCGCCTGCCCCAGTGCGGGCCTAGGGTCCGGCTGTGTTCTCAGTTGTCCCCTCAGCCTGGGGCAGAGGTCAGTGTGCCTGGCAGGTAGTCTGTCATCTGTGGGTTCGGGTGAGAGTAGTTCCTAGTTTTATTGCATATGAACTTTTCTTCTCATGCTCCTTCCTTTATTATCTTCAGCGTGGGCCACAGCAGCCTAACGTAAATGCGCCTTTCATTTAATGGCTTTTACTGGAAGCCTCTTCATAGCTATTTTTAAACCTGAGGTCCATTAACATGACTCCAGATTAGAGCCAGAATACTCACACTTGCCAGTTTACATTGTGCGCTGTTCTTATGAAGCCTAGGATCAAAAAAGACCCAGAAGTAAAATCAAGTTTCTTTTGTGTAGCGTGTGGTTTATGCGTGTGGGTGGTCGAGTCGTGGATGGCAGCTTCTGGCGGCGATCCGTTCAGTAGAAGCCATTGATGACCGGCACCGCCTCGGCAGACTTCACCCTCCGGGCGGCTGACCGCTCCTCTCTCGCGGTCGGGGGGTGTCCTGCGTCCTACCGTAGTTCAGCACCGTCCTTGGGGGCCACTTAGGAGTAGAGGGCTTCCTGGCCACAGTGCGGGGTCTCCTGTTGCTGCCTCCGCTCTGTGTGCTCTCTCTGCAGCGATCAGACCCGCGTCTTCGGGTCCGCGCCCACCCTCGCCTCACCTGCTGCTTCTCAGCCGCTGTTAATGGAGACCAGCTGTTTGACCTTTAGCGTGTGCCTTTATTACGCACCAGAATGTTCTGAGAGCAGGACTGAGGGCCCCCTCTGAGAGGCGCAGTTTGGGCGGACCGGGAATTTGGGGCAGCTGTGTTTGTGCTTGGAGGCCTGGAGGGTCGAGGTTTCTCAAATCCGAGCGCCGAATCACAGTTGAGTTGTGTTGAGAAAGCCGCAGTTAAGTAAATGTATGCAGACTTCCTGTCGGGTCCTGCAGCGGGAGCACATTTGTTGCATTATTCATTTGGTTTGCCCTTCAAGTGCTTAGTTCTCTTTTTTGGGGAAGAAAACAACTCCGTGGGGCACTTGGGTAGAGAGGATTTTCCCGAAGCTGTAAACCTTGGAGGATGGCCTGACTGGTCTCCCCGCAGCCGGAGCAGAGCCGCGGCCTCTCTCCCCTCCCCCGGCCTTTGCTGGCACCTCTAGGCCCCCGGGGGCGTCAGTCGTTGGGACTTCCCGGTCCACGCTGGCGGCTGTTGTCTGCTACAGGGAGTGGTGGGTCTGCAACTTTGTACTCCGTCCCATTGTCTCCACAGATACACCCGTTCCTGCCAGGCCGCGTGTTCTGGTGTTGTTTGGAAATGAGGGGGTCTAGATTTCTTTTTTTTTTTTTTTGAGACGGAGTCTCGTTCAGTCGCCCAGGCTGGAGTGCAGTGGCCGGATCTCGGCTCACTGCAAGCTCCGCCTCCCGGGTTCACGCCATTCTCCTGCCTCAGCCTCCTGAGTAGCTGGGACTACAGGCGCCCGCCACCGCGCCTGGCTAATTTTTTGCATTTTTAGTAGAGACGGGGTTTCACCGTGTTCCCCAGGATGGTCTCGATCTCCTGACCTCGTGATCCGCTCGCCTCGGCCTCCCAAAGTGCTGGGATTACAGGTGTGAGCCACCGCGCCCGGCCTAGGAGGTCTAGATTTCAACTGACCTCTTACGGACGTACATGGTGAGCGTTGGTACTTGGACGTGTAGATGGAAAAAGTGGAGTAAAAAACGCATAGAAAGTAAATTCCACCATCAGCCTTTCTAGGGCTGTGGTCTGCGTTGCTTCCCGTCACTTTCACCCCAGGAACAAGGGACTAATCTGGAAAGGAACCAAGGAACCGGAGCATTTATTAGGCTCAGCTGTCTGATTTTTAAATGTGTGTTTCTTAATCTGAGGTGCATGAACGAACTACCTTGTAGGCTGTTTCTTGGGTCTAGGAAGCCATTTATATTTATATGCTGGTTTCCTGAAAAACACGGGGTGCTCTGTGAGTTTGAGGAGTTATTGTGTGGTCACTTGAGTTGACCCTGGAGTTTGTGAGGCTGGCCCTGTTCTGGTTACCGTCAGTAAAAGGCAGGGCTGGGAGGAAGTTGGAACCACCCAGCTGGTAGAGACTGGCCGTTTTTTTTTTTTCTTTTTTTTTGTGCGTAGGATGAATGCATTGTTTTTGTCTGTCCTTTTTACTTTAGCAGACGAGAGAGTTGGCTGGAACGGTCCCTACTCAGCAATATTTATTTAGGTTTGCACACCTTCCAAAACGTTGCTTATTTAAGTCCCATTTACAGTGCTTTAAAATGGCTGACATACCAGTCAGCGCTGGGGTGGGTGAAGTGTGATGTCAAGAAAATATTAAATCATGAGAGCTGATTACTATGCCCAGAAAATAGGGCAGTCTTATAAATGACCTTTGTCTTCAAGTCGGGATAAGAAATGAGTTATAAACGGCCTGTGGTTAAAGTCCTAGTGGATCCTTGGAAAACGGGGTGGAGATGGAACGAGCTTTGACTCACTTGTGTTCTGCATCCTTTGATCTGTGCCAAGGAAGAGATTGCTTTGAAATGCACGATTTTATTTTCTCAACTAAATATTGTAGCAGCAGTAATGGAGTAGTGAGTGGAAAAGTATTGCTCACTCTATTCCACACTTCCCGGAGTTTATGTGATACACCCTGCTTACCCCCAGGCTTCAGTAATGCCAGTGCCTGCTGTTTAGATGTGCAGATAAAATACACTTCCTCATGGTAAAAGGGTAAAGTGTGATGGATGAGGGCACAGGCTGTTGAGACTGGTTCAAACCTTTCCTACAGTTCATCTCACCTTTGTGTTGTGGTTTCTTTATCTTTGAAGAGATGGAATTACATGATTTAATTCTGAAGGGACAGCGTCTGGTATATTGGCAGCTTCTAAGTCAAAAATAAGAAATATCTCTGGAAAGAATTTAAAAGTTTTTTGTAAATTAGGTTATAATTTTCCTGAACCCTCCCACTTGCTGGCTCTGATGCTGACATCATGGTCTCTATTCTCTGCTCACAACCTCAAAAGTTTTCATAATACTGCTATTTTGAAAATGTAAGGAAAACATTTTTTCCTTTGAACATCTGAACAGAGACAAACTGCCCTTCTTAGTTGGTCGGGATGCAGCTGAAAGTGTTGGGTCCTGATTTTGATCAGCCTGAAGCTGTTCCCAGACCAAAATGAGGGTCAGGCTATTTCTCGTGGCCCAATAATGAGATGCAGATGAACTGGGGAGGAAGAGAGTTTCTATTTTCTGCAGCCGGTTACAGGGAGAAGGCCTGGAAATTATCCCCAGACCAACTCAAAGTTACGAAGTTTTCCAGAGCTTATATACCTTCTAAGCTATATATGCCTGTGTGTAAGTGTGCATCTAAAGACATTAGTGATTAACTTCTCAGTCTATAACAGGTCTGAGTCCTGAAGACCTTCCTCTGGAGCCTCAGTAGATTTACTTAATCTAAATGGGCCCAAGTGCTGGGGTAGATGACCCTGATTTTGTCTCCTGCTAAATCACAGAGGTTTGGGGAGTTCCTTCAGATGCCCAATAACCTTGTTTGTGGAGGCCGGGGGAGTTTCTTCAGACCTCCAGTAAAACTTGTTTAATCCTAAACGGGTCCTGTTAAGAATTCTTTGGTTATTTTACCATGCTTTAAGGCCCAGGAAAGGCCTAGGCAAAACTCTTGGTGGGCTTTTGTTACATTCCAGCCCTCGTATAAGGGCACTGGCTTTTTTTTTTTTTTTTTTGGCTTTTAATATTTAGCTTATCCACTCAGTACTGAAACAGCTGTTACAGGGACCTGTGTGAGTGAGACCTGGCCTGCCACAAAGCTTCATGGACACGTTGTCAGCTTTGTGACCTGCACTGGTGATTGGTTTTGGAGATCAGTTAGGTGGAGGAGTAGACAGGGATGTGAAGTTTAGGTAAATCCTGAAGCTGTGGAACAAGACTTAGCTTTTTTTGGTTTTGTTTTCAAAAGTCCTTCATCCTCTGGGCATTTCAGCTCTCACTTGTGCCAGGCATTTTACTAGATGCTGGGGCAAGATGAAGGAAGTCTTTGCCCTTAAGGATCTCACAGTCATTTGCGAAAGACAGATGTCTAAAGATACGTAATGTGTAATTTTTCTTTTAAACAACTTTATTGATATATATTTTACATATCATAAAATTCATTTCAGGTGTAAAATGCAATGATTTGTAGTAATTTTACTGAATGGCGCAGCTAGCATCAATCAGAGCAGAACATTTCATCCCCAGTAAGATTCCTCATCGTCACTCACAGGTGATCTCTGTTCCCACCCTAGCCTTGGACAGTTCTGCATCTACTTTGTAGCTCTATAAATTTGCCTTTACTGGACATTTCATATAAGTCAGTCACACTGTGTGTGTTCCTTTGTGACTGGCTGCTTTTGCTTAGCGTGACATTCTTGGGGCTCATGACGCAGCTTGTGTCTGTCGTTCGTTCTTTTTGCAGCAGAATCGTATCTGTTGTTTGGGTGGGCCACGTGTGTTGCCTGTTTACTTTCAGCTGGTGGACATTTAGGCCGTTTGCACTGGCGGTTGCTGTGTATCATGTTGCTGTGAACATGTGTGTGTGTGTCTCTATGTGGACTTGTGTGTCCTGTTCTCTTGGGAATGGAATTGCTGGGTTATAGGGTAGGTTTTTTTGTTTCCCCTTGGAGACTCTCTGGTTTCCACATACAGTAGTTTTATGCTTAACCTTTTGAGAAATTGCCAAACGGCTTTCTGAAGTGGCCGCGTCATTTTGCTCCCTCCAGCCATTTATGATGTTCCCGTTTCTA